TCTAGGTGTTCTATGTTGACCGAACACTAATTTCGTGCAGTTTTGAACAAATGTCCGGTAACCGCTTTTGTTTTTTTAAAGGGAACTATTAAGCTGAATGACCAATTAATGTCTTTGCACAATGAGCAAAATGATAAAAGACTCATAATGAAGCTTCCTGAAAACAGCTACCTTAACAAAGCAGATTCAGTTAAAAGGATAAAGAGCACCATTTTAAAGCTGTCAATCGTTTAAAGTAGTTCGAAATTAAAATACGGTTAATTTCAAAAAGCTTTGGCGAATTTATGAAGTCTATGGCCATGAGCAAACTGTCTTACGAACGGTTGTTTCTGTTTAAAGGTATTTTGTCTTTTCTATTCACATGTATCGAAGTAAGTGTTGTGAATTTCAATGTCACTTTATGAAAATGATCGAAAACTTTGGTTTTTATATTTCAGAGTTGTCTGGCCAGAGTTTATTCTTTACTGAAAATGTCTATCGTTTGCCATTTTGCTTTGTGCAAGTTAATTAAGTTAGGGGACACGGAAAACCTTTCAAACCCACGCAAAATTTCGAAGTTTTGTCTTTTTGTTTTGTCTAACATGTCAGTTAAACTCAACAGAATTAGGTTGTTTTGTGCATGCGCTCCAGTCGCCATTTTAATGTCAATTATGTTGATTTACCAAAGTTATCTTCCTGTGTTGACGTCGCAATATGTGAAATTAAAGTTTCCTCTATGAAACTGAATGTCATTTTTCTCGTGAAAGCAAAATATTTTTTCGAACTTGACTATATGTCAGCTATCATATCAACCTATTTTTGTTTAATTTCATACGTATTATTTACCTAAGCTCGACTAAATTTTCTCTTTTTGAAGATTGATACTGTCGTTTTAATGTATACCGCCTCAATTTTTGCGCTATTTGCATCTGAAAGTCCTAATATAAACCATAACACTTTAATATTATCCTTTTTTATCACGAAAATTGCTTTTGTTGTGATGTTTTTTAAGATCTCTCAATTAATCTTTTGTGAAAACTGCCCGTCACGAGTGGGATTAATTTAGGTACCTTTGTCACCTCGCTTTTGTTTTTCTTTGTTCATATTAAAAGACCTATGGGACTTGGCCGCTCTGAAATTTTATCCATTTTATCAAAAGAAAATTAAACTTTTCATTGGATACGAATGACAACCGCAAGAGTTTTATTAACAGATGGAAAATAAGACTAAACTACACTTCTGCAAAAGCAAACCATCGATGTCGTGAACGAAATCTGTGCACGATTTCTGGAGTATTTTGCTTGAACAAAAAAGGAAAGTTTAAAACCATTCGGGCGACTTTTTTGATGGATTTCTGTACTCGGTTTTTCGCGTTTCTTCTCTTATGGATAAGAGGTATATATTCAGGTAAGTATGCCACCCATTTTATATAATGTTTTGTAGAATTTACGAACTTCAGGAGCTTTCATGTTGTCAGATAATTCTGACAACATCGTCGATTAAGTAGTTTAAGCTGCTCGTTTTCTCCCTCGAAAAAGTAACAGAACTGCAACTAGTATGACCTTATGTTTCAGTTATTCCTGAGGAATACATACAGCTCGTATTTGATACGACTGACTTCTAAAAATACAAAAGGTACATTCAAAATGGCTTCCGTACGCGCGTCTCAAAAAAATGATGTATCAAGAAACCAGAAAAAAAAAACGAAGATTCATGTTAAACACAAGCTCACTTTAAAATTCACAGGAAGTTTCAAGTACTATCCAAGGGCTTTAATTTGCGTGAAAACGCCATTAAAAGTTTGGTTTTATTTCAGAGTTGTCTGGCAAGAGTCTATTCTTAACTGAAAATGTCTATCCTTTGCCGTTTTGCTTTGTACAAGTTAAGAAGATCATTAACCGAATGTAAACTTGTCCTTTAGTTTCGTTTGTTTTTAATTTTGCATCTTTTTGGCAGTGTAAACCAATATCCTCAAACGGCTACAGCCTGAACCACAGTTGCTCGCACAAAATGATATCAGTTTTTTTTTTTTACCATAAGATATCTTTAGTATCTTTGTGGTTTTAAGTAGTACACCTTTTTCTCTCTCTCTCTTTCTGAGATAAGGATCCTACTTTGCTACGATCACGTAACAGAATGGGAAATTATGTTTTATCGCGGTTTTCCAAGCTAGCAGCTGTTTTATCTTTCATTATTCACCTAATGTATTCCGGCAAAGCCATACATGTTGAAGTCACTTTGGATGAACCGCTAGACCTTTGTAACCTCAGAAGGCTCGAACTTATTCCTATGGGAACGGGTTTTTTTTTTATAAAGCATCTACTGAAAACAAATCTTCATTTTCTTGTTCAAATAAAATGGCCTTATTTGACGTTAACATCTGTCACTAGGAAGAGGTAGTTCCATTGTGCAAATTTCCAGTTTCAATTTACTATAGCGCAAAAAAATATCCGACATTTGTTTAAAACGTGGTGAATTTAGACCGCAAAAACAAACTTATTTATTTAGTTAAGCTACTACCTCTTTTATTTTATGTTAAGATCTTTTTAATCCCATTGAACTTATTTTAGTCGCTAAAGATTTGCTCTATATATCGGTGTATTGGTGAAAACTTTCGTATTCAGAAATATGCAAAGTAAACCCAACAATAATGATTGTCACACGGAGTCAAAGACGGTAGTCTTGTAATCTTTGGTGATTACGCAGTTTTTTTATTTCAATTTAAAAAAACTGCCTACACTGAATTATTTTTCCATTGTAAAATTAATACGCAATATAATTTTAGAAGGTTGGCTTGCGAGCTTCTTAGTTTTTAGTCGGAATGATGTAGTTGCTTGATTATTTACTTGCTTTTTGTTTATATTATCTTTTAAAATTAATGTAATTCGTAGTAAAATTTGGAATTTTCTGTCCGTATTCAACAGATTATATGGACGTTGTCTGAGGGAAAGCGGGCAGAATGGAGATGTATGGTTCTTGTTTAAATCTTAGACGATCTCCAACTACTCCTTTTTTTTCTCGTGTTAATAGCATGTTGAAATGGAAAAAAGATTTGAAACATTCTAGATTGTTGTATTTCAAGTTCACGGCTATACATGTACAAAGAATAACATGGTGAAAATTCTTACGCAGGCAACATTGAGCTTCTGAAAGTAGGCTGCTGTTTGTTCGTAACCGCCAATTATATCAAGGCTAGAAATCTATATCTCTGGCCATAAGTTATTTTCATAGACAGAAGATACTAAACAAAGAACGTAGTTGTTTATATATTGAAAATTGAATTTCGGTCAAAGCTCCATTAAGGGCCTAATTATATCCGGCCAGTCAAATATCCTATTCAAACGCGCGCAAGATTATCTACTGGTGTGTTCAATTTGACAAGTATTACACCGCGCGCGATATAATTATGACCAGTAATCATCTGGGTTTTGGTACAATTAACGACACACGCAGCGGGCGATATTTCAAAATTTCACCAAGATTGGACGAGCACGCAGGGAAGAGTGCAAAAAATAGAAACCGTTCGAAAGGAAGCTCTGCAAAGCTACCGTTCTAGAAGTTTCGTGTCCATCGAGTGTCTCAAAAGCTCTGTTTACGAACCTTGAGTGGAATTTTTTCTGGCAATCAACTTTGTATATCAAGAACGTAGCTGGAAATTTATAAATTTGAATCGAGAATGAGCTATGATTGAAGTGAAAAGGTACAACGACGGAAGATCGCTGAATAGACTCCAGTTAGTTTTTGTCCTTTTCACCTCGCCGCCAAATTTGACTGTCAATGAATAGAATGTTCACGTTACTCTATCAAGCTGATATTCCAGAACATTCTCTTTGTGGCTTCATTTCAAAAGCGTGCAAGCTCTATTTGCCTCGTCTATGGTCAAAGTGTTGCCGGATACATGTATATTCATCGATATTTTATTTTCGTCGAAATTGTTTTGGTTTCTGACTTGAACAGGTCACATTAACCTAATTTCGGCACTTCGTGCACATAATAATAAAATGTAATAAAACATCGGAGGCTATAATTATTGTTTCAGAATTAACCTCTTTAATGCGACAAATTTTCTTCGCTGTTCATGCAGTTTGCGCCAGCCATTTTCAACAGGAGCACCAGGAGAAAAGTTGCCGGCTACCGTGGCAACCTTGAAATTGCACTAAATTTTATTTCATGGGCGCAGTTTCAAAGTTTCACCGATTTAATGAGAAATTGAGCTGCTTCCTACCATCCACATTTGAGAATTTTCTCAGTTAAACGATTACTCCGGTTACAACTTTTTGTAACTGGATTCCTGTCATTGGTACAATTACTATTACTATTCAGAAAGAGTTCCAAAAACGTTTTTGTTTTTCAAATTGGAGTCGTTCTGTGGCCTTGCTAAATTTTGGCAGGCATTCAAATTATTTTATGTTCTGTTTGTTTTTCAAGTAGGGCATGCTGCCCCCAGTCTGTAGGTGATGGTTTTCTTATCAATATCATACACTAACCGTAATCAGTTGAGAACAACATCAAGCCCAGGCTTGTGTCTCTTGAAATTAACACACTATTAGAACACTTCTGTTTATTCAATATCTATCTAAGATTTAGTTACGACGTTTCTTGACTTGACTGCAGTCAATAACCAATAACTTTATTATTGTGTTGAGACTACCAGCAGAACAGAAGTAGCTTACCAAATTGGGAGCATTTAATACACTGTACAGACAGACAGACTAGTTGACGTTTTGAGCTCCGAAAAGAGAGTCTCAATGGGGTTAACCGTTGGTCGTGAAATGACGGCCAAAACTTTAGCCGTTAAGCTTAAAAATTGGAAAATTTTAATCGTCAGCCGCTAAAAATTTTAACCGTAAACTGGTCAGCCTTTCAATTGGTTTTATGCTTTATTTTACACTGTTGATCCTGATCTAAACCAAGGTCCGTCTTCACTCCGCTGCTATTTGTACAAGTGGTCCTTGCATTACAGTTTATACATATGAACTAGCTTTTCGTTATTGATTGTTTTATATTTTTCAATTGATCAGATATACGCAGCTCCATAACGCATCGCTGGACCTTTGACGGGCCGTTCCCGTACAAGGATCGCGTGACCGGGCAGGAAACAATGCTTATTCCCAGAACCGCGCAGCCATTAAAGAACATAGACTATCTTCATCTACCTAGCCACTCCGCCTTAATTTTAGGATCCTTCACGGATAGTTGCCTTACGAATATGCCAGTTTGTAATTCTGGGTATTCTCTGGCATTCTGGATAAAAGTAACGTCAAATGCGACTCTTCGTCAAATTTTTCTCGGCACTTCAAGAAATAATTTCGAAGGTATTTTTGTGTACCAAACGGAAGCGATCCGAACTGAAAGGAGGGTTATCGTGGAGTTCCTCTTCAACGGAAGCAGCTGGAGGGTGCCCCTGAAAATTCGACAGGAGATTTGGGACTTTATTGTGGCAACTTGGAATAGTACAAATGGTCGCTTGGTTGCTTACTTGAATGGCGAGTTGGTTAACTCGTCCGTAGCTGGAAATAAGAGTGATGTTTCGAAACTTGTCAAACTCAGAAGAAACTTCTCAGAGCAGGTCCCACGCGCGTCATTGTACTTAGAGAGCGGGGCGTTGTACGATCAATTTAAGACAACAAATAGATCACTTAATGCCTATGAAGTGAAGAGAACATTTGAATTGCAAATGAGTGAGTTATGTATTTTAAGTTCTAATCGGTTACGTCAAACTGACCATTTAGTCGCCGTGATTTGTAAACAAAGACAACTGTTATGCAGTTGTAACAAAGCTAGATTTAACCACTTCCCAGCTCGCAGGTATCGGAAGCTTAAAATGCTCACTGTTTTGCACACGCCATACGATAAAACTGTTGACTCGTAGCATTTGCTAAGGGACTCTTTCGAAAGCTTTAGCTATGTCACGTCAGTATAGCATGAGGATAACCCTGTCCTTAACCAATCACACCTCAGAAGAATCTCCAATTCTGTTTGGAGGGTTAAATAGTCTTATTTCTTGAAAAAATATACGTAATCATGTAGATGATCTTGAAATCTCTTCTTTTTTTTTTCAGATGACCTTTCACAAATAAAATGTACTGCTACAAATACGACGTTGAACATAACGTGGCAAGCTGTTAAGAAAAATGTATTTAAGAATGAAATTCAGGGGTACAGATTAACAGTCTGGAGTATTTTAAATAAGATTGAGATTATAAAGCAGAAGAATCTCAGTCATTCATCTAATCACTATTTCCTTCAGAATCTCGGTAAGACCATCTGTTTGTTATGACTGTGTTAATCGAAACTATTAGCTCAGGCCCAAAATTGCTCCCTGCAGGGTCCCCTCTGATTTCGATGTAAATCCTGTGCGACTCATGTACTAACAATAGATAGATCGAAGCTTAGCATAACCAACTAAGGACTGTTGTCAAACTTTATACGAGCCTGTCTTGCAGCCAATACAGGCCATTACGGCTAAACTAACCTATCAGTTTCAAGGGACCAGGCTTATAACGTATTGCAAGGCTCGCACTTCAGGGAGGACTAGATTTTTGATAATATAATAGCATTTGTTAAGGTGGCTCAAAACAGTTTCCAACACTTAGATTTGGATGGGTCGTTATAACCACTCTTTATCACTTGATGCTACAATCATGGTATCAAAAAACTGCCCAAGCATTGGTAAACATGTTGGTATCATTTTCGTGACACAATAGGTTACCATAGCAACAGTATGAGCTCCTAAAAACACCCTTAATTACAGCTTTATGGGCTCATAATTCAAAAACGGCACGGTGAAATTTTTGTTATATCAACTTTTGATAGGTATGATAAGACACAACTTTTGAAAAAGTTTAAAAAAATTCTGTACATGGGGTTCAGAGCCACCTTAAATTTTCGAAAATTTAAGGTAGCTCCGAACCCCATGAACAGAATGTTTTTAAACTTTGCCAAAAGTTGCGTCTTATCATATCTATCAAAAGTTGATAATATAAAAAGATTTCACCGTGCCGTTTTTGAATTATAAGCCCGTAAAGCTGTAATTAAGGGTGTTTTTAGGAAGTCATACTGTTGCTATGGTAACCTGTTGTGTCATGAAATGATGACAACGTGTTCACCAATGCTTGGGCAGTTTTTTGATACCATGATTGTAGCATCAAGTGATAAAGAGTGGTTATAACGACCCATCCAGATATAAGTGCTGGAAACTGTTTTGAGCCACCTTAAAACGTTGCTAAATCTGGTTGTTTTTTATGTAATTAGTACCGTACTCCTCATACAAGGTTCGTCTTTGGGACAGCAATGTCAGAAAACGTCTTGGAGGTCTTATTTGTGGAGGTGAGAAAACTGTAAATTAGTTAATTTCCGTTTCCGTGTTGTTAGGCTTAAGGATCTGTAGTGTGTGGTATATGAGAAATATTCGATCGACAAGAACTTCTCTGTTTGCCATAGAAAATTATTTCCTTGAGTCATTCATCTAGCTAAAAATTTTGATCAATTGCGATCCTGGTTCCTTTCCTTTCTCAGTGTTGGAAATAGTATACATAGTTAGGTGAAAAAGTGAAAGGTTGCACATTCACATGAAAGAAATAGAGAACGTAACATTGTCCTATCGAGTAAGGACTCACAATATAAATACGAGCGGTAGTTTGGAAGAATGGAAAATGAGAGTGGGAAACGAGCTGCAGGCGAGTGTTTTCTGTCTCGAGTATTTTATAACTCGACAGAAACACGGGAAAATGTTTTCTGTCTTTTAGAAAACGATGCGAAAAAAAAAAAAGGAATGGGTAATCTCTTGATTATTTCGACTACAAAAACTGTTATGTTTCTTGACTCACGCCATCACTACCTCAGTCTACAGTTCGGGCTGATTCTGTTTCTATTCGATTCTATCGAGTTATAGAACCTTAAGCAAGGGATCTAAATGAGCATCATCAATTGAGTTTCTTAGCTCTTATCCTATACCATCATGATAACCAATCTAGATCACGAATTCAAGCTACATCAGTAAAATCGCAGAGATTTTCTTTCTTTGTGTTCTAATTCTAGTGCCTTCAAAGGTTCGTAACTTGACCATAACAGCACACAATTCGACTGCCCTTTTGGTGGAATGGTCTCCACCAGCCAGGAAGAATGGAATACTCCAAGGTTATCACATCATTGTAAGAAATGATTACAAGAAATTTTACATTCCTTGGCATCGATAAAATTATTCAGCGAACGATACTTTTATTTTTAAATTACCATTCTTTTGCTTGATAATCTTTGTGTGGTACTTTGCTTCAGATTGTTGCTGTTTTCTTCTCTGGGCGTGGGCGTTGAAAACACATTCACAATTCCTACTTCTAATGAAACTGCTATAATTCCAAAATAGTTATTTCGACTGAAAACTATGATCTCGAACGACAAGGGTTAATAAAATCAGAAACTAATTATAGAGTAAACATGTTTATCTTTCTCGTACGAAAATTTCAAGAAACAGACCTTTGTTGAGCAGCTCAAAACGGCTCTTTTCATAGCCACCACAAAAACTAGTCTTGGTCTTTGTTCACTTTAATTAATGCTTTGGTCATTGTGTTGTTGATGGGAAATTGGGAATGGGTGTGATACGATACACATCTAACCGATATGTCGCTTTTCCAGAGCAGAATACCTAAATCTGGATCCCTCATGTCTTTAAGGCAAGGTAATCGTCAGAGAAAGTAAAAACCTTTAGCAATGTTTTCTCTAAAACGTTCATGATCCCGAAAAAATTTTCCCGAAACATTTTAAACTGGCGGGAGTCCCTTTTCCCGCCCCCCTCCTTTTTTCCGGGCCGTACGCCTATGAATAAATACACACAGTAAATCTGTTGTGACCTGAAAATTTGAAATTTGTTTTGTATTTGAAGCTGTCTATGATGAGAAAAGAGAGATACAGGGTCAGCACCACAGTCAAAGATGCTGAAAAATACCTCGCAGCGCATCTAATGGCTGATACTGAATTTGCAATAACAGTGCAAGGTTTTACAACAACAGGAAGTGGTCCGCCGTCTTGCAAGATTGCTAAAACCAATAACATACCAAATGTCACGGGTATGTTCATTCTCAGTCTCAAAATAACAATTTTCAACACAGTGCCTTCCACATTATTTAGCTACCAGTCCAGATTTTGGTCCTACATTAAAAGTCTTACAACAACTGTAACAAATCCCCTTATTTGGTTTACCAACTTCCGAGCTAATCAAAAGTCAAACAGACTAATCAATACACAATTTAAAGGCATCTTGTTTATTTTCCGCCTGACAAACTATAATTTATTGGTTTTACGTTTTCTAAATAATAGCGCCGAAAAACATTACTGCGTTTCCTGTGAGTTGGCACACAATTGAGGTCACCTGGACACCGCTTGATCGAAAAGAGGAAGTGACGTCATACGAAGTAGAATACTGTTCATTCATCAATTGCAGCTCTATGCAAGTTCAGGGTAGCTCTGTAGTGGTGAAAGGACTTACTCAATACACGTCTTATACAGTTAAGGTGCGAGGTCGTAACGCACAGAACGCAGGTCCGTGGATTTCCACAGATGTCAAAACGTTAGGTCAGTAGGTATCTCATAAAGATTATAAACCTGGTCCAATTTTGAACTTCTATTCTCACTTCTGGTTATCAGCATTTGCTATTAATTTTCCGATGGTGGTGCTGTAGTATATCAAGGAAATATCAATTGCAATCAACGTTTACTTCCACCAGATTTGGACGAGTGCAGCGGTCGACATCGATGTAACGAGAATGCTTTCTGCATAAATACAGCAGGCTCGTACGAATGCAGGTGCAAATCAGGACTTTCTGGTGATGGATATTGGTGTGAAGGTTAGCTAAAGTTCAAACAACAGCTTTTACGTGATTTTTTTTGCGATAAATGAAGATGTACATGTATTTCGGCTTACATGGAACCAAATTCTTTCTTATACTTTTTCTATCTTTCACCCATAGTTGCTCCAACTGGAAGCCCTGATGATGACTTCTGTAAAGAGGAGCTTTTCAGAAATATCACCTGGATGCGAACGCCCAAAGGAAAAACCATAGAAAGACATTGTCCGTATGGGTTCTTGGGTGAGAAATGACGGGTGCATGCTCTAATGTTTGTACATTCTAAACATACGCCGCAGCCTAAAGTACATTTTCTGCAGTTTCATTTTATGGAGTTTGAAACGTATTGGCACATCTGAAAATTACATAGTGTAGTTTTAGCGTTCTATATCGAGAGAATACCGTAACTATTTTGCACACTGGAGCTAACATTTTTCAGATATCGATGTTGTGAATTAAGTAAACAATCAGGAAGGAAATGCACCCTTTCTTTCATTCATTTCAGGAAAGGCCTTCCGTACCTGTTCAGCAGAAGACAACGCGTCTTGGCAGAAACCAGATTTAACCAAATGCCTCTCAAAACGTTTCAAGAAGCTCCAATTTGAGGTTATTAATAATTGAAGCAATTAGTTGCTACTGAAATATCTACTGAATGTTTTAAGTGTTCTTAAATCTTCTGAAACCTAATCTGATGCTAAGATTGAATAATAGAAACGTGTTTTATTTTTCAGCGGGTATTTAGAAAATTCGCTAGGGATGCATTTTTTTCCGGATAACCTAAATTTGGATTGATAAAACTGAATCCAGACTGAATAGGTTTGGTCTTCATAATAAGAAACAAGATTTGGATTTTGAAAACATATCATCCGCATACTGGAGAGGGGATCGTTAAATAGTGCTTGAAACGTTTTTTACTTTAGATGTTGATAAAATATTCAAAAATATTTTCCTTTATCACTGTTTAATTACCGACTCAGATTCAGCTTTCAATGAATCCAGGCGTATCCTACCTTGAAACTTGAGAAAGAAAATGAGGCTTAGACTATTAACAGGGCACTAAAAGAATAGTAACTCGGCATTCAGAGACTAAATTCAGTTGTCATTTTTCTATTTCAAGATGAACACGACTCATAAGGTTCCTATTGTAATCATTGCATTTTTTCCTAGATGGAATCGGGAACGAGCGATCCCGTTTCACTGGCCAAAAACCTGTCGGAAATTTCGAAGCCTGTAGATAATGAGCTCATGGTTAGTGGAGATTTATATACTGCTGTCGACATGCTTAAGAAGCTGGACCAGAGGACTTCAAAAAACGAAACAGTGAGCAAGGAGGAAGTTGATTCGTTTATGAAGGTGGGTTTCTTTACCAAGCCTCTACCACGCTACACCGCGGAGCATTTGAGAAAACGCAAAAAGAAGGACATACATATATTATAATATATATTAACCGAGCTAAGTCGGTCTGTATGGGAGAATCTTGACCTCGGTCGTGTGTACAGACCTCACTGCGTTCGGTCTGTACTCACGTCCTCGGTCAAGATTCTCCCATACAGACCTCCTGCTCGGTTAATAAGAGCTGAATATGATATAATGTAATGTAATACGATATAATATAGTATAGTATAATATAATACAATATAATATAATATATAATATAATATAATATAATATAATATATAATATAATATAATATAATATAATATAATATATTATTATATGGCTGTGTCTCACAAGGACTGGGAACTACCAAATTCGCGAATTTGATTGGCTGAAATCGATACTGACCACGGTCTAGATTTTCCCATCTAGACTGACATCTAGACCGGTTTCATTTTGCGTTGAAAAAGTAGCAAACTAAAATACAACAATGTTCACCGCTTTCTTTCATTTTCTTCCCAATCATTTATGGAAGTGCCAAAAAGCCTGATGACAAAAAAAAAGTAAAGAGGAAGACAAAATTTCGGCAGGTTTAAGTTGAGCTCATCTCCGTTTACAAGCAAACCAGTTACATTAAACGAATTAAAGTTTTCTTCTTTGCTATATAATAAACATCTTATTAACCGAGCAAAGTCGGTCTGTATGGGAGAATCTTCACTGCGTTCGGTCTGTACTCACGTCCTCGGTCAAGATTCTCCCATACAGACCTCCTGCTCGGTTAATAAGAGCTAAATATAATATAATATAATATAATATAATATAATATAATATAATATAATATAATATAATATAATATAATATAATATAATATAATATAATGTAATGTAATGTAATGTAATATAGTAAAGGTAATATAACAATATAAAGAAATAACTTATTGAAGAGAAAGAGAAGGAATCAAAAGCGAAGGTTGTTAGTCCAATTAATTTGTCCAAACGTCATTAATTTCCGGCCTTTTGAAACATTTCAAATCAATATCTGGTAGCCCTAACCAGCTCTACATCTTGCATAATTTTCCCAGTCAAAGTACTCTGACATGTGGAACCAGTTTCTTTTTGCCTTCGTCATAAATTCAGACTGATTAATGATTTTCTTCAAATCACTTTTTAGGACGTTGTTAATGTAGCAAATAACCTTCTTGGTGAAAAAGCTATCGAAGCTTGGCAGGATTCGCCTACGGTAGGCCCTCTTGCTTATCTTGCACTGCGGAGATAGGTGATGAGAATAATATCAGACAATATCAGCTTGAAATTCCTCAAAATTCTCAAACCAAACAAATGCGAATGCATCACAAGCAGTAGTGAAAAAATCCTCAGAGCTTGGCGCTGCCGAACTGATTTAAACGCAATGTTATTTCAAATATTAATATTTAGTCTTTTTTTTCTGTAGAGATAGCTGTAACCTGCACTGTTAGTTCTAAAATGAACTACACTGATCGTTTACATTTTGCGAGTTAAAATGTCTAAAATCATGCGATTGAGATCTTACTAGAATATTGCACTTAGCCTCTGACGTTTACATCTGCTTTTTTAATCATTTATTCCTTTGTTTTGTTTGTCTTTCTTTGTCTATTTGTTTGTTTGTGTCATCTTTCGCTTGTCAAGAAATCTCGTTCAGACGAAGCTTCCAAACTCCTGACCTCCATTGAGAATATAGCCTTGATGGCTGCTTCCGTATCAAACAGTAGAAATATCTCCAATGTGGCAACATCCAATGTCGGTATGTAGTATTCAATACTCGCTAGAACCTTTTACCCATCATAGCCTGCAGTTACAGAGTGTGTTTTTAATAACCATCAGCGTAACCTGTAGACGCAAAGACGCAATATCCAACGAGATATTTTTCAAGGGAATAACAACGTAGTTATATTGTCAGTAGTAGCTAGGTTAATTTAAGTTGCATAGGACCTGAAAGAGAACCTTAAGACATTGCAATTTTTTATTACGGAATAATACTTTTCAAAGTTTCAACACGTTAAAGTTTGGAAGATACAATATCAATGCACATTACAAGCCTGAGGCTAAACAGTTGATATTTTATCGGTCTTGACATGGTAACAAAGTTATTTTGCTTTTGTCGAATTTGTTTCAGTTTTAAGGTTTCGTTCATTTGGAACTGAAAATTTACCTAAACGGGTGGCCTTCTCTGCGGTGGATGATGGACCCGGAAGCAGAATAGAGATGCCAGTATCAGAGTTACTTAGGGAATCAAACAGGACTGATTTAGGTAAAATCGTTAGCCAAAAATTAATCTCTTATATCCAAGTTACATTAATGCGTGTATGCGTGTGGTGTGTGGAAATAAGCTTTTTCACACCGTAAAAGGAGAGCAAAAGTGCCCGCTTCGTTATTTCCTTTCCTTGGGAGAGAAATGAAATTTGACATATAGCCTGATCCATAATAACAATAATGTCTCAAAATTACAATGCGAGAGTCAATTAAAGACGATTTATAGATTTAAATCTAAAAATCACATTTCCCCTTTTCTTTTCCACAGAAAGAATCAATCACATCGCTTTTATCTACTTTAAAAACATCGCACATTTGTTGACTACCTCGAGCTCAAGGTACATTGCACTTTTTTTCGTCGATCAAACTGTTTTCAGTTATTTTAGCAATTTAGTAATATTGTAACGTAAATTCGTGAACTTTTTCAGCACTAACATTAGTGGAGAGGAGGTTAAAGGCAATACCATTGTTAACACTACTGGTGTTATCTCGCTGTCCACCAATCCTAAGATACCCGGAACCTTTGAGGAGCCTGTGGTGATTACACTACAATACGACGAGGTGAGAATATCATTCAATAAAATGCAATAATAACTACATTATAATCATCTCTATTTTCTAGTCCTAGTTTCTCATCCCCGTCTATTCCTTTATTCTGTTCGTTTGGAAGGGCAGCAAACTCAAATACATGTAACAAGTTCATCTTAATTGTATACAGTTGATCTGATGCCTCAACGGCTTTTTTAACTCATTAAGGTAAAGTTATAAAGAAGACTATAAGAAGAAAGCCTTCACGGCCAGGCCAAGACTACGTGAAACTGGCTGCCATTTCCACGTAATAACATGGCATGTTACTTTGCACGTTTAATATTGTGCACGTCGTCTTACTCACTTGAGGCCATATTGTGACTCTGGACGTCACTTTTATAAGTTCACTTGCTCGCAGTGTTTTACTGTTTCCAAAGTCGTGGAACGTTACACTTCTCTCCCGAACCCTATTAGTATTTCTCGTTAGTTCCCTGTGAAATCAACTGTTCAGTTTGCTTTCAAAGACCCCAACACTGCTTTACTAATCTGGCATGCTAATAAAAATATCACTTCCCTTTCATTAGAGTCAAGGAGGGCTACAACCGTCTTGTGTGTTCTGGAAAATTTCAGAGTAAGTTAAGTTTTATGGGACAATTAATTGAGAATCTGTCAACTCTGTTTTCATGTTGATAATGATGCAACTATCCAGGAGAGGGATATTTAAAAACATTACATTATTACAATTGTTTTTGTAAAACCCTTTTTTCAGAAATGGAGGCTTGTGGTCCAAAGAAGGTTGTAATGTACACTTCACCAACGCTACCCACACTATTTGCCATTGTTATCACTTAACAAGTTTCAGTGTCCTGATGCAGTACACACCGGAGCCCACCCCGATTGTGGTAAATAAGACAGAGTTCCCTTTTTTTTTTTTTTCTTGCTGTAAGTTCTCTTAACTGTCGATTGTGCACAATAAAATGTTATTAATTTGCCAACACCTCCACCTCGGTCATTTCGCTTGACTAAATATAACCTGCTTGTGTTCTTGAATAATCTTAATAAGGAACTTAACACTGAGTAGATTCGACGTGTACGAGCAATATTGATGACGTAGATGTTGCTATAGATCGATCGTACCGAAGGGCAATGAACAGTTATTGATGCGTAGTCGGACTATTGATATCTTGTACTATACTCCTGGTGCAACTCAGTTTAACCTACTTAATGACCACAATGATTTCTTTCACTCGTAAGTTGAGATTTGGTTTGAACTATCAGTTGCTTCTGATAAAGCCTTTTTCTAATGACAGGCTCTCACTAAACCAAAATTAAGGTAATCGCATCCGGCCAAATATTGTACACAGTGGCGGATCCAGAGCTTGAGCTAAGCCGGGGGGAGGGGTGGGGAGCGCTTTTTGGTACAACAAACCTAGATAATAATAAAAAGAACCAATCGAGATTCCAAAAAGAACTGAGCTGTCAGTGTGAAATGCGAAAGCACTGTTTGCACCGTGTTTTCTCTTCAGATTCCAACCAGCAATCAGATACTTGTTTAGATAGCAGGCTTCAGTTAAAGCCATTCTGTTTTCTCCCTTAGGATACTCACGAACTTGCATTGAGTCTCATAACATATATTGGGATAAGCATATCACTGATCGCATTGGTGTTAGCTCTTATGACGTTCTGCTCATTTGCGTAAGTACATCATCAAGTATTACCAAGAGAAGATAACGAAGTAATACAAATTGCCAGTATAATGATAAGACGATTACGAAAAGACATGCATGACGAGGAGGAAGGTATTAGTCTGTTAACACTTCCTCAGTCTGTAAACAGACTAGAGAAGTGTGACAAATTTACAAAATGTCACTGGGTAGTAATTGTTCCCTTCAACTAGCTGTCCGTAAAAATTGTCAACTCCGTATAGGATGTTTAGTTAATTGGAAGCCTGGGGCCTGTTTCTCGAAAGCCCCGGAAACTTTTCGGGCCCGTAAAGCTATTTTTAGTTCATCTGTATCTAAAAACGGAGAGGTGTATAGGCCTGAAACTTCTTGTATTAAGGGAACCTGGGTTCATATTAAGAATACGTGAATAAAATAGCTCTGTAATCACAAGGTTCGAGATTTTGCTATGGCTTTCCGGGTGCGAAAACTTTTCGGGACCTTCGAGAAACGGGCCCCTGGTTTCAATTGTTTCGCGAGTTTATTGCATGTCATAAAGAAGCCAAAGCGATGCATATTTTTTGTCACAAGAAAGTAATGCCTTTCAGTTATAGAGGTACACGGTTCATTCTTTCCAGATTTCTCTCGTTTTTTCTCAAAGCGCTGCCCTCGTCGCTTATTCTGTCGCTTTTTTTGTGCAAATAACCGAACGCCTGTAACATTCTTTAAGGCTTATGCATGCGCGTGTCTTCCTTGGATCTTATATATATTGATAATAATTATTTCCCATAACAAACTACCTCTTCTTTTCTTGCAGGTTCTTACGATCGAATCGAAATTTTGCTCATACCAATCTGGTATTATCCCTTATCTTGGCTGAGTTACTGTTTGTTGTTGGCATTGATAAGACACAGTATGAGGTATGTAGTGTAATCATAACAAACCATATTATCATCTGAAAGGGCACTACTTAATTTTAAAAAAGTTTGGGGTTTAGGAACTAATACCGTTAAAGAGCATGTCTTTGATCTCATTCGATTAATTACTCTCGTTTTCTTTTCGTCAGACTGGCTGCTTTGTCATTGCCGTGTTTCTTCATTATCTGTTTCTTGTTGCATTTTGCTGGATGGCAAGCGAAGGCGTAATTCTTTATCTGATGTTAGTTAAAGTTCTCCCCACCTCAGGTGAAGGTCCCAAGAAAAAACACTTCTTTATCTGCTCCTGGGGTGAGATTCTATTATAATTTTGTCTTTTTTTTTGACATGGTTATCTCAATATAGCTGCTAACTATACTTATTAGGAGCTAACCGTGGTCTATCAGTTGACATGAGTTGATAACGTAAATAATGTCGATGCATTGGCGCTTTGGTCATGCACTAAGCGTCGAGATGGCTATATTTTTCAGCCACGCCACTGAAACATTGACTGTGCCGGTTGTAAATAAATAATTTAGAAGCGGCAGCTCAGCACGTACACGTAAACTATCAATTTTGTTTGTTTCTCTTTTTCTGGGTCTAATAAGGCCTCTGATCTTCTCTTGATGTAACAAATGTCTTTATTTTTTAAGGAATTCCCACTATTCCCGTGGTTACAGCTATTGTCGTAAATCGTGAGGGCTACACAACGGATAGACAGTAAGAGTGGGCTTGATTTCTTCTTCCTCATTTAGATAAAATGAATAAAGAAATAGATAAATAGGAATTTGTAGTGGCACATCCTACGGAGAGGTTTTTTATCCACCATTTCCAGATCAAATTGGAATTCAGAAGTGTTGAAATTTGGATGTGATGTGTTGGTTTGAAAGTTGAAAGCAAGCGATTTTACTAGCGTCCTTCTGTGTAACGGGTTCAACAAACGTTGGTAAAGTTTTTTTTTCTCTGATCCGATTAGGTTCAAAACTGAATTCTTTTGATGTATGATTCGAAACTTCAAGGAGGTTGGGAACCCTTCTCGTTAAATTTGAAACATTTACAAAACGTTTTCGACATGCTGAGCATAAGGCAATGATGAAAAATGAAACACAGTGCTATCGGTTTGAAGTTAAAAGCACTTAAAGCTAAAATTAGAGTAATTTTCAATATCCTGTTGGTGAATAAGGAACATGACCATATATAATAACTTCATATATCTTACTCACCAATTATAGGGAATTTTTATACCATTATTATAACATAGCGCCTGATAAGAAAAGACGTATCATCCATCACAGTTTTAAGCACCGCAAAGGGTGGAAACCATTAACAGCTGCCACCTTTATTTTGTCATTTATGTTTTTCTTGGCAGCTGCTGGTTGTCGGTTGAAGATGGTTTCATATGGAGTTTTGTCAGCCCTGTTTTATTAACATGTTTGGTAAGGCTGCTAGAATAAAAAAGATACAACAAATTCCACCGACACCTCATTTGCTCTAACGCTAAATTTTACAACAATTGCTAACGGGAGTAGAGAGATTTTTGAGCTAGGCACAAGAGTAGCTGATCGGAAAGTAAAAAATCTGCGCAAGTGAGTAACATAATATAATAACAATTACAAATCGTAATAATAATTAAAACGTTTTCAGATACTTCAATGCTCTTTCATATGTGCATAATTAACAACCGGACGGAACGAAATCATGTACGCTGGACGATGCATTACCATCATATGAGTTGTCGTTCACATATTCGGCTTTTTTCTGTCTTTTCAGGTGAATCTAGGGTTTCTGGGAATGACATTTAAGGCAATGGTGGCTCGTTCTACTCAACAACCTTCACGTAATCCTCCACAAATGCGGTGAGAAACTGTTACTACCCCGGCATACAAGAGTTACCATCATCGGGTCGAGGCGTGCACGTAGACAGTAAGATCCCTGCGCCTGAGTAAAAGATGTGGTTACGGGCCCTTTTGGATCCGCCACTAATACATACCAAGCTAAGATAGATTTAAATGTAAGACCCTGTAAATTGCAATGCAGACAAGTAGTCGGTGCTTGGTTTACCCTTCGCAATAGTGATGAAAATGTAACTTAATAAGACTGAAGAAGTCAAACAACATGGGGCGTTGCCATGGTGTGCCACTAGATTATATAATTCTCAGGACCAAGATTAAAGACAAGTTTAAAAGGAGTATACTATTACTTATGTCAATCATTGTTTAAAAATCTTCATTTAAAATAATTAAAAAAATGATAAGTAATTTGATTTTCTGTTATGGTCATGGATTGTGATAACTATATGCATTATTTTCTTGTTGGAGAGGTATTGTAACAAGGGATGTGTAGTGTTATATTGCGTAATATGATTAGCTGTTGTTATTGTCATGGACTGGTTGTAAGTTCTCAAACCAGTGATAGCTAAATGCATTATTTTCATGTTCGTTAGGTATTGGGCCAAGGCATGTGCAGTGTTAACCTGTCTGTTAGGCACGACCTGGTTGCTTGGACTGTTTCTCGTGGGGGGAGCGACAGTTGTCACGGCATATCTTTTCAATATTTTTAACGTCTTGCAGGTGAACAATGGAGTACAGCCTTGAAAATAACTGATCTATCCCCTATAAAAAGTGCCTTTGGGGAGAGTATTGAAGAAACTTTGGATGGGATAGTGTGATAAAAGAAAGAAGGAAATTCATTGTTCAATTTGCAAGGGGGTATTGTAGTCAACGTTCAACGCGCTACTTGGCTTTAATCGATAAGACGAAAGGTGCAATTTAACGAGTGCGAAGAGAGCGATGAAAAGGGAGCGATTGCTACAAACAAAATAAATTACAAGTTATAGACGAATACAATAAAAGAAACAGAAATAACGAGCTGAAGGTAGACGATACTTACAAACGTGGTATGACTAGGAAGCTAAGGAACACGTAAAAGGAAAACGGCAGGGCGGTAAATGAAACGAGATGACGGTAGCGTCGCGATGAAAATGCACAAATAAACTAGAAAGAMGCATACAAAAGGGGACTGAAACAAAGCAAAATTATGCGAAAAAACCTAACAGAATATCGATAACGTGAAAGCGAGATAAACGAAAAGAATGCGATGATCACGAAAGAATGCACGTACAAACCGAAAAAATAACAAAAAATTAAATGCGGCTGCAACAGGGGGTGTACATGTATACGTTTCAGATGTACATGTAGTGAAGGGAAATATGAATGTGCGACTTTTATATAGTTGTAGTGCTATTGGCGTTTAAAAGGTTTCTGCTCTTGTCAGTTTTCAGAAACCGTGAGATGGTCGACATATTCTTTATGTCCCACCTAGTTTGGTTCACACTACTTATATTTGTTTTCTTTTTCGTTGCTTCAAGGGACTGTTCATCTTTATTTTTCATTGCTTAGCCGATGAAAGGGTAAGTCACATGGCTTATGCATAATCACAGAGATAGACACTGTATATAATTAAATTATTACCCAATCGGTACTCCCCATTCTGAGAAAGGATATGAAGTACACACATATATAGTGAGGATTCTGGCACAGCACTCACGCAACACAGTGCAAGCGTAACACAACTCCTCATCTGAAGATTCGGAGTTGTGTTACGCTTGCACTGTCTTGCGTTCGCTTGTGACCAGAACCCTCACTATATATGTGTGTGTGTGTGTGTGTGTGCTGTGCCAGAACTGCGTGTGTGCGNAAAAATGCGCTGCTATAACTGCTGTGCTGTTGCGCTACACACGCACACGGTTCTGGCACAGCACTCATGCCGCAGTTCTGGCACAGCACACACACACGCAGTTCTGGCACAGCACACACACACACACACACATATATAGTGAGGGTTCTGGTCACAAGCGAACGCAACACAGTGCAAGCGTAACACAACTCCGAATCTTCAGATGAGGAGTTGTGTTACGCTTGCACTGTGTTGCGTGAGTGCTGTGCCAGAACCCTCACTATATATGTGTGTGAAGTAACCCGTGAGAGCGAGTGACAACAAAATTGGCAATACGCGTGCTTTAAGAGAATTCCTGAGGAAAATATGTAAAAGTGCACTTTTTTTTCTTTAACCGATTTTACTTTTTTCCTAGATTCGCACAGAATACAAACGAATCATTTTCTGTCATGGAAGTCGAAGGGATTACATTCGGAAAAGAACGATTGCGAGAACTAGACATTGCAAATCTCCCTCTACTATAGTAAGTATAGAATAGTCATGAGCATGCAGAATACAAAGCAAAGTAGTGTTGGCCTCATCCACGTCTGAAATAAAAAGCACGGCGTATTCCTATAGCTACAGATATGTAACAAACCGTACTCGGTTTATTTTCTTATCTTTTAGGGAAATGAGATTAGTGAAATCAACGGGGTATGATGGCCTTAATGAAAATATTGATTCGGCACAGCTAACACATCTGGTATAATTATAATTATGCTGATGGATTGTTGGGGAAAATGTAATTAATTACTTAGGACAAGAACACCAACAATTTTTATGAAAAGGAGCTGGTGCCTGTTTTGACCGGGTGTCCGGAACGAATAGATCGAATAGAGAACGATCATTGATCGAATAAAGCGAAAATGAAGTACTAATCCCTAGAATAAATCTGAAATTGATTGTGTTTTTGAATTACAGACAACAAGAATTGTCGAGAAGAAAGCCAGAGAATCGGAAGGTACAACCAACTACGTTTGTTTCTGACGAACCTTAATCTATCTTACTCCTCAATTTTAATGCGATTGTTATGCTGAAGGATGCCTTGCTGGACACTAATCAAAAATTGCTCTTGATACTGACGGCTCAAGTTCTGAGCATAAGTTCTCTCAAGCTCAATTTCCTGAGCATAAAAAGCTAGTCAAATAAAAATTGCCATGCTACGAAGCAGAACTTTATAAACTTGCTAACTTAGCTCAGCGACCATTTTTGCGTTTGAGACCACTTGTGATTATTCGGTTCCTGTACCGTTTTGAACTTCCAAAATAGTGCAGGACTTCAAAAATAACAATGACAAAATTATCGTTGGTGTTTCTGGAGTACTGATTAAGTTACCATTGTTGCTTTCCGGTCCAGAACTTGGTCGAGATAAAAAAGGGCTATGACAATGACTTTTGTTTACATTTTCTCCACCCCGCACCCTGTCCAGTGACACAGGTAGCTATAGCGTATCTTTTCCTAACCTACACCGTCTAGTCTAGAACGTAGGTTATCGATTTTCGTACTGACCAGAGCCCCGTTAGCCGTCATTGGCGTTGCCCAGGATCCACGACAAGGACGTGGGGTTGGCTTTTTGGATCCCTTCTAAAACAAAGGCTAATTATCGTTCCATGAAACTTCCTTGTCTTCGTAATTAATCATTTAAAGTATCTTATTATTTCTTTGTTGTTCTTTTTAGAGAAGAGGATCTCCCACGGTGATGATACTGTAACAGTAGAGACACGCAGTATCCCTAGAGTCAGTAGAGTTATGTTTGCTGATCAAGATTTAATCGAGGCAAGGACTCCCTTAATATCTTAGTATTCTCATTTCTGCCATTTTAAGTACCTAGATGCACATCCATAGCCAGGCTCCTTGGACTATGAAGCCTTCCGAGGACATACTTTCGTTTACTTTAGCACCGACACCGACCAGAGCAGTTACTCGAGAACATCATTTACTTTTCCTTTGTTTCCTTTTTTCGTTTGTAGCATACGCATAACCTTTATTGTCAAAAATTGTAGGGCTTGGACTGCAACCTGCAAATCCCATCATTGTCAAAGGCCAGCGAGGAAAATGCAGATGAGTGCTCAAAAACATGCCAGGATAACAACGTTAGCGAAAGCGATGAAGGAGAAAGCGAATACCATGACGACGAAAGTGCTGAGTCTGATGACGTTTTCTTTGAAGATATATCTTCGAGCTTGATCAACATTCGCAAGGGGAAGGTGAATAGTACCAAGCATTCGACCATTTCTAATCCATTTGAAAAGAAGCTCATTTGCGTTTCAGACTTGGACTACACCCCCTATTACAGTCAGAGAGAAGAACTGTCACACGACAATGAACAGAATGAAATGAAGAAGTCGTCATATCAGCGCTGTCACGGAAGTTGGCGCGTGGTTAATTTGACCAATCACGATTCAATGCAGCAAATTAAGAAAGTACGTGTAGAGGATGAAAATGAGTCGCTCGATTTTTCGGCTGATTTCGATCTCGAGTCCAATTATCAAATGCAATACACTTCTACAACGCGACGAGTTTATCGGTATAGTCAAGATTCACGTGTCTTAACTTCCACTAGGCCTGCGCAAATCGCACTAAGTGAGAGTAGTGTCATAAGCAGTGACTTCAGAATGAGTATTTCAACATTCGAGAATGGCAATTCAGAGCTGGAAGACGATTCCGGGTCTGTTTTTGAAGAAGTAGGGTTTGCAACAAACGACAAAGCAAGTGATAACGAAACATGAATCTGTTACTAACTGAGATCTTTATTGGATGACCTCGATACGAATTGCTTTAACGCTTGACTTTACCACAAAAATGTTATTTCCCTAAAGGAAACGTTTCTGAGATGTTCGGGTAAGTAAATGGCCGACAACCATTATTTTACCTTGAACTCAAATAAGATGCATAACAACGAACAACGGACTGTATGGAGCTTGCATGAACACTTGGGAGGCACGTGTCGAATGATGTCTCATTGATATATCCGTCGTTCATCTGAGTTACTCCTACCACCATCATTAATGTACGTAATAATCGTAATTATTTAGATAAAAAAAAGAATAAATGCAATAATGCCATGGCTACTCACATAGAGTAGATGTACTAGGTTGGAATAATTCACACCACATTGTGCATTAACAACAAAGCAAAGCATTACAGAACTCCACGGAAAGAGAGTTAGAAATAGTTAACACTAAATAGACTATATTTCCATAACTAAAAGCGAGAGCTGTACTGAGAGAATATCGACGCTGTATAATTCCTTTATAGTGTGGAATAGCGAAGTCGGTGTCTTATCGGTCAGTCCTCTCTCAGGCATCTTTATTGTATAGAATCTATCAAGAAAACCCGACAAATAGGAGGGTGTAATGAAACTCGCTAAATATTCGTAGTTGTGGATAAAGGCATCCACCACGATTTTCTTATTTTCTTTCAGTCAGATAAATTTGTCCAAAACTTGGTATAGTTATTTAGTTTTTTTTCTTTTCTTTCAGTCAAATAAATATGTCCAAAACTTATTATGATTATTTAGCTATAGAATGGTAATTGAGTGCAGCAAACAAGAAAGAAAGGAACTATTTTAGGACTAAAATCTATAGTTCTTATCTTGCAAATGACAGTGCCAGTCACTGCGTCTATTTCTCTAAGAAAGAAACACATAATATAAATTTTACAACTAGAATAAAAGTAGAAAACAATAGTAAACTTTACTACATTTTGTCGTAGACAGTTCCGTCAACTTACGGGGAACATTGCAAGCCAGTAAAATACATTCTCCTCGGCCATCAAGCTAACCTTGAGGGTACACTTTAATTCAGTTTAAATAAACACTTAATTATTTATCTATTTTGCTATTAAGTTCAAAATCGCGATTAAATGGCATAATTATAAAACTGTGGAGGAACCAGTTCATGGCTAGACTAAAGGTCTATTCAAAAAAACAAAAACAAAAACAAAAAACTAAGAAAATGATTCAAAGCTAAGAAATCGTAGGTTTGAAGTACGTTTCTGTTGTGGAAAAAAAATATAATAAAATATTTCATTATTTCGCCGAACAGGTGATCGTATTGTTACGCATTTGTTTTCTCTCTTATATAAATCAGCTTTTTCCTTCATAGGTGGGCATTCTTCATACCTTGATTCCATAGGAAAGTGTATTCAGCAGACCCACGGACGGTAACGATTTACGAGATTCGCCTCATTGGCTATTACGATGGCCTAAAAGCCGCACTTTCGAGGGCAATATCCCACACTTTTTATTAATCTTAAAAGTTATGGCCAAATGATTTTACAATTTTTAAGCTCTGTGAGAATTCGCTATGTTGAAATTAACGGTTGAAGACCAGTTCTTGGAGTAAAAATGCGGCAATTTATCAGAATGGTTCCTGAATCCAGCCAAGCATATTTCAGTTTTTTCCATTAAAACATTAAAAGTTTAGCTTTGAAATATTAATGGGAAGACCGCCAGGAGATTTTCGCAGACTTTTACTGTTTTTAAGGTATATAAAATTCTCCAGAGGAGTTCACCCTTAAAAAAGGTAGAAATGAGCATTATTTTCCAGTCCTATTATCATAAATAAATCCGTGTGAAGATAAAGTCAGTTTCCATCGCAGATTTCTGAAAACAGCTGCTCAAAAATGCGACGGCAATTCAACAAAGGATTTTACTGAGTCGACGCGAAAATGTTTTGGCTTTACTCTTTCAGAGATCATTCTAAAAGATCGTCATAATTGGTCCAAGTAACGTCTCTCGTATAAACAAATGAATAATTTTAGTAGTTAGTAATTTGAATCTGGCTCATTTGCCTCAGTGACAGTTTATTGTCTGCTCATGTCGAACCGCGTGCTGAACGAAGGTAAGTCTTAACACCTTTACATTTTTGTATATATATTTTTTCTAATTCGTAAGAAGATTATTTCGTTGTCTATTTTTCCTTAAGGAAGTTTAAAATTTTGTATCACGCTGTGCTTGAAATCAACTTAAAGATTATAGCAGTCAGCGTCAGAAACAGCTAGAAACAGTCAATCAAAATTCAGTTCATCGCCGTTTGATTGTATGACTGAATGGACCACGAGTTTCCTCGTGTATACGCACATGGAGTTCTATATACATGTATGCCGTTTTGATTTATAGTACACGTGGTGTGGTCAGGACACTGAAATAAACGAAAACTGAAATTTTGACCAAAATGTTTTCCACAGCTACTTCTTTGTGTATTTTAAGAGAACCAATTCGGCAAAATGACAATTCTTGAGCACAAGAAATTGGGCAGCATCGCAATGATGCGCTTATTCTACTTTTAGGAGCAAAGAAACAAACAATTCAAGCTGTGAATTTAACTTCTTCATCTTTCGCTTCAACATTTGAATGTGTCCCAAGCTCTGTCGAAGTCTTTTCATTGAATAAATAATGCGTGTTAATTTCTTTGTTCGATATGGATCGCGGCAAACACCAAAGTATTGAGAAAAAGTCGTACGGCTTTGTCAAGCTAATGTACGTACATCGAAGTTTTATACTCACTCAGCCAAATTCGTTAATTCAAATGTCAGCTACGCTTATACGCAGACTTAAGAAACTTCATTTCTCTCGCAATAAAAGCGTTCAAGTCAAGTTCCAAAGAAACATTGTTGACAATAAATTTTGACATAAATGGCCACACCTGTTGGAATGAAACACGCTTTGGTTCAGATCCAAAAAAAAAATAAAACAAAACAAAATGAGAATCTGAAATTAAATTGAAAGAGTCATGTTTAAATACAGGCGTTGCGTCACCGGCAGATCATGAAAATGTATATTTTTCTGGTTTTTTTATGAAACCGCAATGCAGTTTTCGCATGACTCATTCAGTCAAACAAAGCGGTGAACGAACAGTGGGTATAGCCNTTTGAGACAGTTATACAAACCTGAGACGCTGTCGAGGGTTTGCATAACTTTCGCGAACCCCCAAGTGTTTGGATGAGTTTATATAAACACGGAAAATGTACTCTGATGTTTTTATAAAATATTTCCAAAAACTACGCGTGAATCAAAAATGTCACATGTGTGGTTACATACTGTCATCTGTACAGTATTGTAATTTTGTAAGTAACCAGTATTGTAAATACAGTAAGCAATGTATGTAATCAGCCGTAACTGATATAGTGTATTGTTATTAGTTTAAGTAAGCTGTATTGTAAGTAATGTAATGTATTGTGTTGTACTGTTGAGTATTGTAAAATTTGTTATCATTCTTAAAAAAGAAAACAAAAAACACTGTCAACTAAACAAACCTATCGACCAATGAGCGCGCGCGTAGTATCTAACGTATTTTATAAAACATGATGGTTTAAGATCAAGTCAGAGTCTTGGCTGTTTCTGTGTTCAATTTTTAGTTGACATTTTTGGAGTTAAAGTATGTTTTATATTGTTTTGCGCAGTCCTGGGGTGATTATCACTGAAATACACAAACGAGGGGGTATGGACGATGAAGAATACTCGAAGGTGAGTGTTTCTGAGTAAAACGTAAGCAGGTCTCCATTTTTTCCCACACTACGCGCGAGAGAAAATGTAATAATTAAGTGAAGCGTTTGTCACCTGATGGGGCGGGGCACAACGGAACGGAAAATAATTTTCTCCCTACCTTCGAGCAATCAAGTTTCTTGCGACCATTTTTCTGCCCACTTTTCTTTTCCCTCAAACCCGGTGGAGGGGGGTGAAACTCTACAAAGTTTTTTTACGGTGAAGCTCCGCCCTCGACCCTCTTCTAAACCCTTGGAATGAAGTCAATGAACAATACTACCGGAGAACATCAAGCATTGCCTCAACCAAACAATAGGTATCATTTATTCAGTTCCCGTTCACGTTATATCTAAATGATAGACTGTGAACAGTAGTTGCTCCGCATAGAAGCGACCGTAGCCTTTTAGGATGTACATCAACGATTTTGTGAGTCGAGAAGTTTGTCTGAAATGCCTAATGCCAGTACTTATTATTATATTTACATTTAGTTCTTAGAACATTCTAAACTGACACACGCCTTGGGTCGCCCTGGACATGTGGAAGAAGTGGCTAGTGTAATCGCTTTCCTGGCGTCAAGTGACTCGTCTTTCATGACGGGAGCCTCACTGCCTGTAGACGGAGGAAGGCACGCTATGTGCCCGAGATAAAAAAACAAAAAACAAAAAAACAAAAACAAAAACAAACAAGACAAAACAAAACTACAAACTGAGCATTGTTACCAAAAGAAAACAAGACCAACTTAATATCAAGTGCGCGAGGAACAGATCACTTATCATTCTATGTAGTATCTGGACTCACGTAAGAACCATCGCTTGAAGACTGATTTCAATAGTAAATGCCAAACGGTAGAAAGAATCATCCAAGGCTTGATAGCACTTAGCTTAACGTTCGACTGCAGTGCACCTTTTTATTTTCTTTCCTTTGAAGGTTACGTTCTACCGTTATGAATGAATTAATGAAATGATGTTTGAGAAGTGGAATGATGTGATAATGTAACTTCATTTACGAGGGATTGCGTGATCTAGCAAAAAAAATATATTCTTGGTGGCCAAATATCTGCAAATAAAGTTTATTTCAATCAAATTATTGTATATAATCTTTGACCTTATCTAGCCCCAGGCTTAATTTTTCCGTATAATTTAACGCGGGGAACCAGGAATTGTATGATTGAAATCAGATGTTCTCCAGGAGGAAAGTTAAGGGAGAAAAAAATACAGAAAATTAACACATAACCCGCCAAGAAGGTATATTGGGTCCATCTACAAAATTTAATAATATTTGTTTTCAAATCTTCAGTAAATCTACATTTTCCTCATTTATTGCAATCGTTTATTTCTGTGTGTTTTCTCCCCTCACGGTATCGAATGTGAAGGGAAGAAATTTGTAGAAACTGACTTGCAGTTTTCAGTAAAAAGTCTTGTTTTTGCAATTTTCTTTACTCTCCCGCTTACCCCCTTACCCCTCTTACTTACTCCCCCTCCGCCACCAAAAAAGAAAACTAGTTAGGCGGTAAAGGAAAAGCAAATCTTGAGCAAGTCTTTTATCCCCGACCTTGTAAATAGTGTTTATTAAATCTGAAAGATATTATGATTTGCTGATACAATATGAAGAGCTTGTTCTCAATAAGCGAAGTGTGAGGAACAAGACACCTGGGAAAATGATAGAAGTCAACTGAATGCAACAGTCCAGTCAATCCACTCACCTATAATAATTCTGTCAGCCTGAATTGCATGGGAAAAATTTGTCCAAAGGCTGGAATAAAGATGAAGAAAACTACTGGCGAGATATTAGATAGGCTCGATTTCTGCCGTTAATTCTCTCGCGTCCGATCTTTGTTCCTCCCCGGCCGGGCTTGTTTCCCGAACAGCGGCTGGAAATCGAGCCTAGATATTTAGACTGTTACATGAGATGTAGCACTGCTAGTGGTTTGTTGGATGAAAGAAAGAGAAAACCTTTCGTCAAAAGGTGATGACTACATACGCGCGAGAAGCCGAATCCAACCGGACGATTCCGTGCTGGTCCAATCCAACAGAGTGCATGGTTAACTTAATATTTTTATTTCAGCAAATTTTAAAAATGTTTAGTACCGTATATAATGATTCGATTTAACGCTCGGGGCGCTTATTTACTTTCGGTACCTCAAGGGAGGACGATTACTCGAGACGGGGCGCTTATTTCTTATTTGAGAAACAACCGAATGCTCAAAACAAAACTTGAAAATAAGAATCAGATCATTCGTTTGAAGGTATTATGCACTCACATGCATGGACATACATGCATACAACCTTTATTTATACATTGCAATGGACTTCTTTATGGACTTCCAGATCGAGATTATGAAATAACTAAACTGCAGAGAGTACAGAACGCAGCAGCTAGGTTACTAACTTCGAGCCGCAAATATGACCATATTACGCCTGTTTTGCAAGAATTACACTNTTTTGGAGAGAATTGCACAAACAACTGGAGGGATGTACGTGATGGTTCAAAACATGGATGAGCTCAGCACATTCTTTAAGAGACAGGTGTTGCTGTCACGGTTCATCGCTCAGTTTGCGCATGGTGAGTGACGTGACGGGTACTTTTGTGACAGTTGCAAGGATATGCTAATGCGATATACTATTGACACTCCCTCAACAACCCTGAAGCTAAGGGACATTTATTTTAATAAGTTGCCTCCTCCCTCCAACAAATGCCACCAGAGATCAAATTCCTGTCAAATGTATTAATTGCTATTTATGGAAGCATGGTCGGCAGACATCCGTTTGCTTCTTCGGTGTTATTCTTGTCAACAATAATACTTCATTTCGTCGACCTAAAAATTGCATGGGTGTTTGACCATGGCAGGGTTAGTTATGCTGGTTAACCCACATTCGGACCAAACTGCTTCTGTAGTATCATACTCAAGAAAGAATCCCTGTAGCATGAAGTCGCTGTGAGTATTACTACTCCTCAGGGAAGACATCTGGTCCGAACCAATTCCAGGTTTTGTCGGTTGCCCTAACTGCTCGCTTATTGCAATTGGTGGGGAAGGTATCAAATATTCAATATCGGTTAGATCAGTAGGGAAAAAACAGGTAAAGAAGTTATCGCAGTCACTCTTTCTTGATAATAAGTAAACTATTGCTTTTCTCTCTCAACAGACATGGCTAAGCTTCATTCGTTGCTTGCGTTACAGCAGTTTATGCAGGGCCTCGGGGAAGATACGGATGAAGCTGAGCTGGTAAGATCATGCAACCAACGGACCAACGGAGCGAAGTGATGTATGGACAGAACACGGACAACCAGACAAACGAAAGGCTAAATTGAAAAAACAAAAACAAAAACAAAAACAAAAAACACTTTTAGCCGGATTTTGTAAGTGTGCACATCCCTAAAGCTTGACGCAGCGTGACAATACTCCATAGTTTCAATTGCTCCTCTGTATTTGAGGCTATAAACGACAATGATTCTTTGATAGACGTACTCAGACAGCCTAATTGGACAGAACATTCTGTATGACATATTATTATTTTTAGACTGGACAGCATTTAGTCTTATAATCACTCATAACGATTAGAATTACTTTTAAGATAAAATTGATCCGTTTGAGTTTTCTGTTGTAGCGTCCTCTCATGGCGCTGCTCTTGGCGATGTTAGTCGCCGAAGATGATGACGATGACGATGACGATGGAGATGGAGTGAGTCTAACTCGGCTTTACACAACACTTAAAAATGTGGCGATATTTCTGTCAAGATATATTTATTAGACATTTTAGTGTGCACAATTTCTTTACGTTCTTGGGAGTCTCCAAGTTTTTGGGCGGTGATATTGTGAGGACCGTGCGATGAGAATATCGTGACAGTGCGGTCGGCTGCAGTAAGAGTGAAAGTGTCCCAAGCGAGCTTGTATAATGAGAGGTTGGGTGTCTTGACACGGCTTAAGACTGACCTTTAACGAGATTCCACGGTCACGACTGGCAAAAGTTGTAAACTTTAAGCGTGCAATTCTGATTGAGAACTAACAAAGTACTTATAGACGTGCCACCAACTCACAGAAACTGCATATTTTTTTCTGTCTCTCTACTTCTCCTCGTTTATTGTCTCGTTCGAAGAGAAACGTCCAGGAAAAATTTTCTTTTAACAGGAATGTGTTCTACCGTTGTATACTACACGAAACCAGTGTAGAGATTATTGAATAGCGATAAAATCGGCAAAACAATAAAGGAAAATTAAGATCAAATATTGTCGCCTATAATCTAATGATTATTTTCTTTCATTAAATTCCATCAGAATTATCCTAAACCTCCTCCAGTTGGGTCACGTGTTCGAAGGGGAGCACACTGGAAATATGGAAATCAAGATGGAGGAAGAGCTGGTACCATCATAAAAACAGATGGTATACCTGGTTAGTTCCGCTGTCGGTAATGTTTTACCGTAGAATTCTGAAAGTAACGCCCCATATGTCCAAAACTTATTATGATTATTTAGCTATAGAATGGTAATTGAGTGCAGCAAACAAGAAAGAAAGGAACTATTTTAGGACTAAAATCTATAGTTCTTATCTTGCAAATGACAGTGCCAGTCACTGCGTCTATTTCTCTAAGAAAGAAACACATAATATAAATTTTACAACTAGAATAAAAGTAGAAAACAATAGTAAACTTTACTACATTTTGTCGTAGACAGTTCCGTCAACTTACGGGGAACATTGCAAGCCAGTAAAATACATTCTCCTCGGCCATCAAGCTAACCTTGAGGGTACACTTTAATTCAGTTTAAATAAACACTTAATTATTTATCTATTTTGCTATTAAGTTCAAAATCGCGATTAAATGGCATAATTATAAAACTGTGGAGGAACCAGTTCATGGCTAGACTAAAGGTCTATTCAAAAAAACAAAAACAAAAACAAAAAACTAAGAAAATGATTCAAAGCTAAGAAATCGTAGGTTTGAAGTACGTTTCTGTTGTGGAAAAAAAATATAATAAAATATTTCATTATTTCGCCGAACAGGTGATCGTATTGTTACGCATTTGTTTTCTCTCTTATATAAATCAGCTTTTTCCTTCATAGGTGGGCATTCTTCATACCTTGATTCCATAGGAAAGTGTATTCAGCAGACCCACGGACGGTAACGATTTACGAGATTCGCCTCATTGGCTATTACGATGGCCTAAAAGCCGCACTTTCGAGGGCAATATCCCACACTTTTTATTAATCTTAAAAGTTATGGCCAAATGATTTTACAATTTTTAAGCTCTGTGAGAATTCGCTATGTTGAAATTAACGGTTGAAGACCAGTTCTTGGAGTAAAAATGCGGCAATTTATCAGAATGGTTCCTGAATCCAGCCAAGCATATTTCAGTTTTTTCCATTAAAACATTAAAAGTTTAGCTTTGAAATATTAATGGGAAGACCGCCAGGAGATTTTCGCAGACTTTTACTGTTTTTAAGGTATATAAAATTCTCCAGAGGAGTTCACCCTTAAAAAAGGTAGAAATGAGCATTATTTTCCAGTCCTATTATCATAAATAAATCCGTGTGAAGATAAAGTCAGTTTCCATCGCAGATTTCTGAAAACAGCTGCTCAAAAATGCGACGGCAATTCAACAAAGGATTTTACTGAGTCGACGCGAAAATGTTTTGGCTTTACTCTTTCAGAGATCATTCTAAAAGATCGTCATAATTGGTCCAAGTAACGTCTCTCGTATAAACAAATGAATAATTTTAGTAGTTAGTAATTTGAATCTGGCTCATTTGCCTCAGTGACAGTTTATTGTCTGCTCATGTCGAACCGCGTGCTGAACGAAGGTAAGTCTTAACACCTTTACATTTTTGTATATATATTTTTTCTAATTCGTAAGAAGATTATTTCGTTGTCTATTTTTCCTTAAGGAAGTTTAAAATTTTGTATCACGCTGTGCTTGAAATCAACTTAAAGATTATAGCAGTCAGCGTCAGAAACAGCTAGAAACAGTCAATCAAAATTCAGTTCATCGCCGTTTGATTGTATGACTGAATGGACCACGAGTTTCCTCGTGTATACGCACATGGAGTTCTATATACATGTATGCCGTTTTGATTTATAGTACACGTGGTGTGGTCAGGACACTGAAATAAACGAAAACTGAAATTTTGACCAAAATGTTTTCCACAGCTACTTCTTTGTGTATTTTAAGAGAACCAATTCGGCAAAATGACAATTCTTGAGCACAAGAAATTGGGCAGCATCGCAATGATGCGCTTATTCTACTTTTAGGAGCAAAGAAACAAACAATTCAAGCTGTGAATTTAACTTCTTCATCTTTCGCTTCAACATTTGAATGTGTCCCAAGCTCTGTCGAAGTCTTTTCATTGAATAAATAATGCGTGTTAATTTCTTTGTTCGATATGGATCGCGGCAAACACCAAAGTATTGAGAAAAAGTCGTACGGCTTTGTCAAGCTAATGTACGTACATCGAAGTTTTATACTCACTCAGCCAAATTCGTTAATTCAAATGTCAGCTACGCTTATACGCAGACTTAAGAAACTTCATTTCTCTCGCAATAAAAGCGTTCAAGTCAAGTTCCAAAGAAACATTGTTGACAATAAATTTTGACATAAATGGCCACACCTGTTGGAATGAAACACGCTTTGGTTCAGATCCAAAAAAAAAATAAAACAAAACAAAATGAGAATCTGAAATTAAATTGAAAGAGTCATGTTTAAATACAGGCGTTGCGTCACCGGCAGATCATGAAAATGTATATTTTTCTGGTTTTTTTACGAAACCGCAATGCAGTTTTCGCATGACTCATTCAGTCAAACAAAGCGGTGAACGAACAGTGGGTATAGCCGATATTCTTGTTTGCATTCACTTGTCTGTCCGTCCGTCTAAAAAGATAGTTATAAATTTCTGCACGCTACCGTAAACATTGAAACGTGATATTTCTGACATTTAGTTCTTTGTTTTTCCTGAAAGGTTTCCGCAAACCATCTGTTTAAACTGGAGTTGCTGCAGTGGTGGACAAGTCGACAAACATGGCATCAGCTTTGTACGAGGTAAAATTTAGTTTACTTTGAGCAAAGTCCTTATACCTACCGCTACACACGTGTACCATATTAATTTTGCCTAATATGGGCTAGGTCATGATTCTTTTGTTGATTCTTGCCTTTGGTCTATAATGAATTCCAAACTTCCGAATGAAAATGAAATATTCAAGCGGAGAGATGATATTCGAGAAACATAAAAAGGAAAGATGATTTGTAAGCATTATAGATCCTGATTATACATTGTAGATAACGCTGTAAATGTCTCTTGTAAAAGTGATCTAAACTTTCATCACATCCGTACTTCCTTTTTTCTACCTTCTCGAGACACTTCACTTTATATTAAGTTATATGCTTACACTCTGCAGTTTTCATGGGTTTCATGATCACTAGCACTTAAGTTGTCGGCTAAAATACGTAAAATATTGCAATACATAAACCAGTAAAAATATTGCTTAAAAAAGTGCTCAACGCCCAAAACCGACGGTATAATAATCACTTCTTGGTCTCAAACAGAAATGTCCATTTGGTGGCATGGATGTAAGCCGAATAAAAGAGTAATGAATACCTGGAGGTAATTCACAGGCTAAATGTTTTACCTTATAATTAAAAGCTCATCAATTTATGATGCATACAGATGGTGTTCGAGAAAAATTGCAGAGCGTTTTAAATTCCATACGAATAATTATACTCGTGTAACACGGATGTAAACAACAAAACAAACATACAAGCTCAGTTTGGCGCGAGCATTCACGCTATTTACATATTTTCCTTTCTTTGTTAATGTTGATTGTTAGTCTTCACAGAATAATAGCGTAAATTCGCGCGGAGTGAAAGGTAGCCTGTTCTTAATATTGCGCATGCGTCTGGGTTGCGTTCTTAATGTACTCGGTACTTCGGAACTTTCTTTGCGCTGTTTGCAAGAGCACGGTTGTGCTATGCCTATAAATAGTACCACGTATAAATTTAAGCCTTTAGAGTTTTCAGATAAGAAATATGCGGGACGCAGAAAAATTCTGAGTCCCCGACGGGAGTAGAAATAGGACATTCCGCACACAAGGCATGACAGTGAAACTTGTGTGCCGAGCTAAGGCCATTTACTATGATAGGTTTGTATTTAACATACTTCTTGCATACTGCTAGGAACAGCAATGTCGAAAGCACCTTGTGTAGAGTGCGAAGAGGATAATAAAGAGGAACATGGTATATTTCAGTTCGGTATAATCCTTGATCCAAATGGTCCAACAGTTGCCTCTAAATTTTGCACGTATTCTCGTCAGCGCTCTATATAGAGCAACAGTTCGAGTATTACTTTTAATACCAAACCTAAGGCAATCATCTCTATTTAAGCAAATACAAGTACTGAATTAAAAACTAAATTGATTGAGGAATTCTTCACGTCTAGTTGATTATTCCTTATATTCCCCTTATCTAAGGTTGAACAATGTATTAATATTAGAAGAAACTGATTTCTTATCAATAAAAGTAATTGTGATATCTTCGTATATTTCATTGAAGAATGTCGGAGAATGGCGCACAAATGTGGAATCAAGAGACATGCTCTCATCAGACGAAACTGAGCCGTCTGATTTCAAGGGAGATGCTAAAGATCACGACGATGAATATGAAGAGGTAAGCCCAAAACAAAATTCCTTAAAAGAAACATCTGAGAATACCTCACTCGCCAAAGAAAATAGCCACCAACATCATGAAATCATCGGTAACGCCATCAACGGCAACGGCATCCATGAAATACACCGTGAGGATCCACACAGCTATGATGATCGAGACGATGAGGGAAATGTAAAAGATGATATCGACGACGGTCAGGTCAATGGAGAGGAAAATTACAATGACAGAGCAGCTGCTGAAACAAATGAAGATGACCGTGCTCCTCCAGTACCATACTACGGAAGAACTCTTGTGGCCCCGGAATACATGAATTTTCAGCTTGAGGAGGCATCTCAGAAAGAAGAGAAAACCGCAGAGGACGACAACGATAATGAGATCATTGTCGCTGATGAGTCATCAGATGAGCTGGGCTCTCCCAGAGCAGAAGAAGAAATTCCTGACCAAACAATTCAGAAGGAGGTTTTAGAAGAAGACGACATAACGTTGTCTGAAGAGGAGTCAGATGAAGATGAAGATGGTAACATTGAGGAAGAAGACCAGAGGGTAAAAGTTAATTGTTATGTCGAAGAGCAGTATGAGAAAGAAGAACAGGAAGAGGAGGAAGAAGACGAAGAGGACCTGGAGGAAGAAGAGGGGAAGGAAGAGGAAAATACTGCAGGCGAGAACTCCAAGCATACTCCAGAGGTTTATAGTGTAGGCTCGCCACAGCTGGCTCAAGCAGAAAATGATGAGGAAGAAGATGAGGAAGGAAATGAATACGATGAAATGCAGGAAGGGAGCTCATTAAAAGAAGAAGTAGAAGTTGAAGAACAGGAAACTACGGAAGAGGATGGACAGCAGGCAACTCATAGCAAAAGCAGTCTTCAGTTGGCCGAGACAGATGATGACTATGAGCATGATGAAGAAATAGACATAGAGACCACGAATGAGTGCAGTCTTAAGCACTCGGATTCTCTGAAAGTACAGGTGGCTTCATCACCTCTAGACATCGGTGAGGTGGGTTCTGTTGCTGAATCGTTTGACGGCCGTGACGGAAAAAGTGTAACATCCGAAGATAACGACGGAGATAAACTTGACCGGGAGGAACAAGAATTTACTATAGAGGACAGGTCTTTTAATGAAACAGATGACCAACACGAAGAAAGAAGGAAAACGGTAAGGATATATTAGAAAGAAGCCGTCAGGTAATCAATCCGCTGTATGAATGTTAACTAGGCAGTTTTCATAAGTTGCTTTCTTCGCGGAGGCTTCTTTTTACAAATGCGCGCGAAGATATTTTATTGTAAGGAAAATGTAAGCCTGTGGAGTCCTAGAAAAGGAAATATAAAGCCCTCTTTTCTATTCCCCAACGTTCTCGCACGCTCTGATCTCTCTCTTTTGCCCCAATCCTCTTTTTCTCTTTGATTTTCCTTGGGAGCCTCCAAAACCGGATTGAAGTTTAAACATGATCTTGTTGCAAATGATAAAATGTTGGTCGAGCGCCCGATATAATTGCAGCGGACTTATTACTTTTGACTTGCAAATGGATCCTTTTTCTTCATTGTGCTGAACTCCTGACTGATGAAGAAAATAAATTTTTGCCTATAGTTTAATGGGCCGGTTCAAGAGTTTGAAAGCCAGGGGAATAAACACGTGGAAGAAGAGGAGAAAGATGATGACAGCTGTCAAAGTGACGATACAGAGGAAGACAGTAACGATGAAACTGCCGCCATCGTAGAAATCAACGATAAACACACTTGTGATGACGAGGGCGGTGCAGATCTTGACACTATTCCCGAAGGAGAGGACGTGGAGGGTAACAGTGAAGCCCAGGATGAAGAATATTCTGGTAAGAAATATATGAAAGTGTTTGACAAAACAGAAAAATCTTGGTGCTATAACGTAATAAAAAGGCAACCAGCTATTTTTTTTTTCACACGTTTCAAACTGAAAGGACAGGACTTAGTATGGGCTTGGAGCGGGGGTTTGGAGCAAGTATGACCTGCAGGGAGCAAACCATTTAGAGCTCCCTGATCTTGATAACAAGGTTAGTTGGAGAAGGGCCCTTAGTAGCTTCCTGACCTTTTCACAACGATAAGGAATGACCACAATGCATAGAAAATGTTTGGAGTTACAAAATAGTCCTGGAGGAATGCCATACCTCCGCACTCGCCCCATTTTCATTGTGTTTTGTACTGATGACACGTATTCTTTTATGTCTCTCCGGCTGAATTACTCCCTGAAGTCTATATCAGTTCCCAAGGACAAAGCGACGAGTCAGACCTAGCTGGAAGAGTGAAAGAGCTCGGAAGAATGTTCGATCGAGGAGGTCCAGTGTTTCCTAAAACAGTAAAGAATGACACCGACGCAGGTATCTGCGTTTAATTTGACGTAACATTCAGAGAATAATTATCTTCGCACGCTGCGAAAACCGTTCCCTTTATCGACCTATAAGTAATAGTTGATTGAGCCCGATATTTTTGCCAGAGAAGTTGCTAAGCAGTATCATGAGTTTTCCAGGTCTTCGTATCGCCTCAGTGACTTAGCAACCGCGCATCAGTTCGATTTAACATACGTCTGCAAAGATATCTCCTAAACTGATGGCAATTGCTCCTAGATTGTTTATGCAACTTGAAGGGGAAAAAGAAACCCTCTTCCACCGGCCAGAGATTAGTATCAAGAGAAGTAGATATACTCCTAACGGTTCAAAACAATGCTTTGGGCGGAGTTTAGCTCAGGCTTCATATGAGCTTTGTGGCTAAATTTAAGTTTTTTGATCAAAGTGACGTAAGTTTCCCCAAAAGGTTGCATGTTATTCAGCGTACACCAAAATGACGCATGCAAAAGTCCAAACCTCCTATTATTTATGTCACAGTTTACACGAACAACGTTTTCTCCCCTTTTGTAGTTGATGGATCTCCTGTCAGCGTACGCAGGTACAAAGCGATCTTTGAACAAGATCAATCGTCAGCAGAGAGAGCCCGAGAACCTGGTACACATTTTAGAAACTATTGTAAACAGTATCTGATACGGGAGATTGTAAACAGTATCTGATACGGATATCAGATACTGTATACTGATACTCCCGTATCAGATACAGTAAACAGTATCTGATACGGGAGACAGACTCCATGATAGATTGTGTGGTCGAGTAAGTAGAGAAAATGGCACACGGCGGTCTTACATTGAAGTTCTTCAATCCAGCCATTAACTAATGTTCGGTGTTTTTGTTAGTCCCGAGTTCAACGTTTCGGCCACCCTTGCACGCTAACCATCAAGGCTGTCTCCTGCCAATTTAGATTGAAAAAATTGGGTTTTCTTTACTCAGCAATATTTTGTCATTGCCTGTTTATAAAATGGACCTGGAAGACCCACGTTTAGAGTGACAAACGTATTTAAAATATTAGCTATTTATTTTTATTATAACTGATATATTGTATAAATTCGACGATGACCACTCGAAAACACTATGTGCAGAAAAGAAATGATGAAGAGGACGATATGTACTTTGTGTGTTGCGGTGAATTCGTAAAAATGAAAGGCTACCAAATTATTTTTGTCATGGAGGAATCTCCATTGAGATTTAATTTTTGTTTTCTTAAGGACGAAGGGAGGAGTTAACGGGTCCTCCACGAGGCATTGTCAAAAATTTGCGAGGACTGTTTGAGAATCCACAGGGTTTTGAGGCCAGGAAAGGATAAGGTACAGTACAATGCATGCACTTTTTTAAAACATCTTGATATCACTTCTATCACCCCAAGTGGTTCGGTAAATCAGTGTTACTATTTATTTTTCTCCGATGTACAGTGCTTATTGCTAGTTTAACTTGTATTGAGTTTTCGAGGGGAGATCAGAAACGCCCTCTCCTTTCCCCATTAGGCAACAAAACATAAGCGACTGGGTATAAGGGCCGGTGAAACGCCAAAGTCTATGAAAGGAGAAAACTCCGCAAATTTATATTTGCAAACGACAATCACTCATTTATCTAGGGCCATATAGGGGCATGAACTAAACTGAATTTGACTTTTCCCCGCCCAAGCCCTACAGGAGTCTTGGGCAGATTAGGTTTTTGTCTATACTCTTGTCAGCTATTATCTGATTCCTTTGCAGCTATTGCTATTTCAGTTTCAATAACGGGCGTCATGAAGTGAAATCAAGATCAAGAGATGTGGTGCCGTTTAACCACAGAGACAATGAAGCATATTCTCATACGAAGAATATGAAGAGAGATCTATTATAAACATTTATTAAATAGGTGATACTAGTGATAACTAATCATAAAATCTAGCCAATCACTAGGCATTTATTAAACAACATTACAAGTTTAACAGTCAGCAATTTAGCTTTCATGGCGTAGCATGAAACATGATGAGTAATTGTACATACGATTTTGAGGATACCTTAAATCGTATTGGGATTGTTTGCGTTTTTTGGGTAAAAACCGACAACTGCAGAAATCCAAGTATTATATGTTTCATCAAGGAAGAACGAACGACGATTGGGCAATCTCAGGAGCAAAAATAAGTACTTGCCGTCCGGCGTCTTTACTGATTCATTTCATTGATCATGAAGTAACTAGAAAGTCACCTAATCTCAAACAAAGGTCGGCACACCCTAAAGGACATGTTTCTGGGACAAAAAGAAGTCTTTCTGGGACTTGAGGCGGAGAAAAGCTCCTTTGTGTGTACTCATGGAACGCACGTTAACGCAAGGTGATGTGCCCAAAGTGGAGTTTGGTTCATTTCTATGTTGTAGCAGGGACAGGTTGCAAGAGCAGTGCACAAGATGCGACATTGAAAATTGAGGCCATTTTGTCGCTATTTCATGACACATGAATTCAAACCAGCTGAATTTCACTGTTCCATGCATCATGTTCCGAGGACAAATTTTGGCAAAAATGTTTTGCAAAAACGGGCATGTCACGCCAGAAAAACTGTCTCTGCAACATGTCCCCTGGTGTGTGCCGACCTTAAGAAAAATCATAAAAGCACTCCCAATTTGTTGCTAAGCGAGTAAGCCACGCATGACCGACTGAAACCCGCATAGAAAATGGTACATGCTGATTTGCATCAATCAAAATTGATGGTTTTTGGCCAGAACTGTTTTTCCTCTATAGAAGTAAACACTGTAAAGTTGCAATAACGGATGCTTGAAAGTTTGGGTACGATCTTGCGATATTTCTGCTCAGTAAAACTAAAAGTAAATAAATATTGCTTTGGTATAACAGAACTGGAGCTTGCCTAGCTAGACCACTAACTCGCGCCTTCAACTGATCAGTAATGGCGTCTTGAAGACGTTTTTCGAGCGAGACCTGAGTAATTATTAAAATATTATAAAAAGCAAAACAAAAATAATAAAACTGCTTGTTATACAGTTAAGTTTGTACTCGTCTTCAACTTGACTTAATTAATTGTATGAATCCGATAGTATCTTAACAGTTTGTTCTGTGGCGTTAAGTTTCGCTTAAGTTTAAATGTCCCTGATGGAGGAAAACGTGGCACATAAATAAAAACAGCATTTACTTCCTGTAAGTCCAGCTTTTGTTCCGGGGGGGATACTCCCAGAAAAATTGACTGGGAGTTCATGATCAAAATCTGCGATTTTCCCTACCCTATTTATGACCTGACCAAAAATTCAGGTGGTCTCGCTCTGACAGTCGTACGGATCAGTCTTGCCGTCTATTTGTTTTATTAACAGAGGAATACCGTGTGTGAGATGGAGGCAAAATTGGACTCGAGTGGGAATTGGAGCACAAAGAACTGACGAGATCGTGGTCTGTTAAGGTTATAGAGGGAGTTAAAGTAACGACTGAGAAGCAGGATATCAGTCTGATTGAGGGAACAATGGAATTGCAGGGGAGTAGTAGGTCTCTTCGAGTAGTAAGAAACACTCGCACCCGATAAACTGGAAATCTGAGGCATTGGTGGGATCATTTGACAACACGGCGAGCTAGAGACAACAACCCATTATCTGAGAGACAATAGGGGAGAAGAGGAACTAATGTAACTCAGTCGGTGATGAGGAAAATTCAGTCAACGTACAACTCAAAAAATGATACACGCCACGTTCTATGTCTGGTCTGAGTCTTTAGTTTCGAGCACGCAGAGTCAGAGTAATATCGAGAACGTAGCCACATCTGCTGGCCCACACAGTAGAAATATGAGTTCGCGTGCATTTTTGAGATATTTTTTAAGAGTCTGTGGTATAATTTCTCGTTCCTGGAGAGAGGGAGGTCCTTTCCTTATCTTTACCCAGATATGAGAGATATTCATGCTTGCAAGTTTACAATATTTTCCTTTATTCATCCAGAGAAGAGTGATGTCAATTAAAGTAATTGTTCAGTTCATTTTTGCATACCTATTATAAAGCCGCAAATAGCAGTAAGTAATTTCAAGAGTCTATTGATAATCTTCTCTTGCCGATTGCGTGATTTGCATTGACAGCATTTTATTCTACTCTAAGTGTTAAATTTCCAAATAACAGAACACATTCATAGAGCACTGGTGATGTAGGGCAGTTACGGTCAACTTTTAGGACTGATGGAAGGCTTATCAGTAGCTCTATGTGACTTGTGAAAGACGTTAAAATTACTGTGCAATGGAAGAAGAGGTATGGTTGACATTGTTCAAATGAGCCCAGGGGAAAAGAAAAGAAAACCATTTTTGTTTGCTAAACAATCCAAAAGAGTAACGTCGCAATTTCATCAAGATTGGCTAATTGATCAGAAAGGTTACATTTTACCGGAACAGTATTCAGACATCTTCATTAATGGGAAGTCTAGTCTGTTCTTATTGTTTTGCTGTCGAAAACCTCTAGTTTCTTGTTTTAGAGGTGGTTATAAAAACCTATTTAGAATGGTAATTGAGCCTAAATTCAACGCAGACAAAAGACTCGATCCTTGCGAAAAATATAGTCGGCCATTGTGATAAGGGCATTGTGATAACAGATAACATGTCAGTCACATTCAAACCCGGCCTCGAGGGAACGGAACTAAAGAAGCTTTCTTTAATTATTACGTGCATTTGGTTCAAGAAAGCAATTTCATCTGGAAGCCTCTACATCTGCATCTACTTTGAAGGTAAGTGAAAAACGAGATACTAGGTTTAAAGGATTTACCCGATCTGTCATACCGCTGTCCGGGGGTTCGGCATTTTTTCAAAATTCTGCAAAATCTTATTACGAAGCCAATCTAAATGTTTATAAAACCCGACGTTTCAGTATTATCTGTTTGTCATTTCGGAGGCCACAAGCCCCGCGCTAATGTTTGTCTATCATGCAATACATAAAGATCCTGGAGTCCTTTTAATCGCTACGTTTACTTGTGCAAAGTTTTTGACATTTTTCCTTTTCTGACTGAAACTCTTTTCGTAGATATACTCGCAAAATCATTCGAGTCGCAAGCGTAATTGACTCTTCTCAATATTATCACCCGGGTCTTATCAGTACGTGATTAAAGTTGGACGACCATTACTGTCCAGAAAGATTTTAAAAAAAATGCTCAGTCGATCTCGCTTGTGGCTTGTAATTTCCATACAAAAAGTAGTAGAAAGAAAGTTTTTCCACTAGACTCGGTAAGTAAAATACAATATCATGTTTTATGATTGTATACTGACGCTATAATGCTCACACTCGTGCACGTACATGTGAAAGTTTGACCTTTGTTTGACTAATCACGAAAACTGTTCATGGAAACAACAAAGACGGAAAATAAAAGTCGGCTATTCTTTGTCCGAATCGGGTTGTTTGCACCGTTTCTTCCAAATACGAATGATGAAATGTGATTTGAATTCGTGATAACACTCTAGTACTGTAATTGGGCTTACTGTCCGATAAGCTGACAAGATTTATCCGGCTGTGGCGTTTTAAGGATCTATTTTGGCACTTTGGCAAACCTGGATTAGCTTTGAAGACTTATTCAAAGAGTACCGTCTACCCATTGTCCTGTAACTATACTATTACTTGGTTCAAAAGCATAATGAAACCAAAAAAAAAAACATACATATCTCGCGCTAATTAGGTCAAGTAAACCTCAAATTTTATAGTTGATGATTATGATATTGTTCGGTGTATTCGAGTGACCTCGATTTCAGTTGTAATGCAAGCATTTGAGCCCCAGTGTCAATTGAGTCCGTAAAATTTGCTGCAATATCTGCGCGATTTCCCTTACTTTATATTAACGTTTGATTATGTTTTCATATTACGAGGAGAGAATACATATAATGGTCAGCCTAGCAAGTACTGTGAGTTCGTGATCACTTCCAGCTATACTTTCTTTGTGTGAAAAGAAGTAAAAGATAATTATCCATTGAAATCTTATACAAAGTCAATTGTTGATATTAGATGATTATTCAACCTTTGACGCTTTTTCCGGTTTAAAACGGCGTGTGCCTACCTTCTTAACTTCCCCTTAACTTTCTGTTCTTAATCTACTTAACCGTCTTCAGACGGTTAAAACTTCCAGTTCCATAATGATGTATGTGTGGGAAACACAAGAAAGGCGTCCACACTTTCACAGTCTGCTAACGTTCTGATGAGAGCGAGTTGGAAGCTAGAGAATAAGAAAATAAAATAATTACATGTGCGTCGGCTATATATGAGATCTTCATTTACAATGAAAGCGGTTGAACCCTAACTTGATTACAACGTTGAGTTAGGGAATGTTTTACTTCCTCTGTTACAATGAATGTATCTCGCACTACCTGTATCGTGATCTTCGTGTATCATATTATTTAAATAACCTTTTGTTATCAAGCCCATGCAGCGAATAATCGAGAATAAATCCTCAATGAAGAGCTTTACACTGAAATAGAGTTACCAGTTATTAATATCTTCGGCATCGTTTCAAAGCATGCTAAATATATTGTTTTAAAATATATTTATAGATATATTGTTTAAATATATTGTCTTAAAAGCGCCATTGTTAACCCAAACAAAAAGGGAGTCGTGTTAATTGCTTTTTTAAGCCAACGTTTAATTAATGCTCCACAATGCTAACTCCTAATATCCTTCCCTGAACTGTGAATGATTACTTCTTTGATAATTAAATTAAGACTCGGCTCGACGTCTTGGTGTCAACACAGGTAGCCCAAGCTCAGTATGTGAGCGTCATGTGTAAGAGTTCAACCCTAATTAATCATAAGGGGTGGCGAATGGTAAATGCGAGACTTAACGAGAAGGCGAGACAAGCGTTTTTCCCTGGGAGCCCGAGAAATTTGGACTTTGTAGATTGCAAGACCGAGATTTCAAAGTGTTTTACGTGCAAGCGCGAGACGTTCAGACTCTTAAAACTCGAGTCCCAGATTTAGTTAAGAGCTAGACTGAGCTTGTCCAGCCTTTTAGCCAACTTCTTCGAACTGGCTGTAACTGGAAATTCGATTATAACACACTACGTTATGATATCCTAGAACAAAATAACTATTTTTCTGGCGCCAAATTAAAACGGACGTGTCGGTTAGTTTTGTAGCTTTTTGTGGAAATCAGACAAGTTAGGAGAAGTTACGATTTAAAACTTTTTCTCGGAAATTTTAAAGTTGCTACATTCAATATCAAGTGACGAGAAGTCGTCACTTATGGAAACAGATGAACGAATCGGGACTTCGAGACCTTTAGCCTTGCGAAAAATCGAGACACCGAGACAGCTCCTTATAAAAAAGGAGATTGCGGGACACACAGTAACCGCTAAAAAACGAGACTGCGAGACCCGTGAAATTCGACTAAAATTTTGCGAGACCCAGAGTTTTTGAAGGACCATTCGCCACCCCTATCATACGGAGCGTAATTAGTCATGACCTTCGTTGTAAGAGAGTGTATGGAAAATACTTCTGGCGCTGTAAAGTGTACGAAATTGGCAATAAAAGTTTCCTTGAAACTCACCTTAGTTGTTTTCTTGTCGTTTCTTACGATTCTGCAGCGTTGAAGGCGTCTTAATGCCTGGTTAAGACCTTTCGTGGGCAGGTTGGTTTTCCACCTCCTCCTCCTCACGAGAGGGGAGGGGGGTGGTGGGAAACCAATTTCGTACACCTCACAGTATTTTCCATACAATCTCTTACAACGAAGGTCATGACTAATTAGGGACCTTTAGCAATGACGACGAGAACGTGAACGTCACCGACCGGAAGTTGGGTAAACGAACTTCGAAGCTACCACGCATGCCCAATCGAGCACTACTCGTCGTCCACATCTCGTTCAGGACGCCATTTGCCGCCATCTGCCGTCTTGTCGAGAACGCGAGTATGTTTTATTTGTTTTCTAATTTCTACT